AAACCTTTCCAGATATTCTAAAAAAAAAGCGAGAGTAACCCCTGTCCACAAATGTGGTGATCCCACTGATGTTAACAACTTCAGACCTATATCAGTTCTGCCAAACTTGTCAAAAATATTTGAAAAACTAATCTACAAGCAGCTTTACTCTTATCTAGCCAAACTCAATATACTTAGCTCTTGTCAATATGACTTCAGACCCCAAAAAAGCACTAACGATGCACTTATTAGTATGATTAACTTGATACATGCAGCTCTTGATAATAATGAGTTCCCTGTTGGGTAATTTGTGGACCTGCATAAGGCTTTTGACACTGTCAACCACTAAAACCTTCTTCTTAAATTACAATATTATGGAGTCAGAGGTCTCTCCCTGCAATACCTTAAGTCTTACCTTTCTGACAGGCTCCAGTATGTTTCTGTGAATAATTCAATTTCTCCCACCCTACCCATCAACATTGGTGTTCCCCAGGGCAGCATACTTGGCCCTCTCCTCTTTCTCATTTACATTAATGACCTTCCAAATGCCTCCCAACATCTCAAACCAATTCTATTTGCTGACGACATGACCTTCATTTACTCCAGTCCTGACCCCCTTGCTCTAAATGTCACAGTGAATACTGAGCTAAATAAAATCCATCACTGGCTAATTGCCAACAAACTCACAATCAATATTGACAAAACTTTCTATATTATGTTTGGCAGTAAATCCTCAAATCAAATAAATCTCAGGATAAACAATACCCAAATGCGAACAAGCCTGAATGGTCTCCAGGACCATTCAGCATTACTAATACCCAAATTTGTAACAAAGTAGATGGCAAATTCCTTAGCGTTCTCATTGATCCAAAGCTGAATTTCCAGGGACACATTCTAAATATATCAAAAAAAGTTTTGAAAACTGTTGGCATTCTTTCTAAGATCAGATATTATGTACCTCGCCCAGCCCTGATGACACTCTATTACTCTCTCATCTATCCTTATCTCAACTATGGTATTTGTGCTTGGGGTTCTACTACCCAAAATCATTTACGTCCTCTAATTTTTCAATACAAAGCTGCTATTAGGACAATATCTAACTCTGGCCCCAGACATCACTCGGTACTCTTACTCAAATCTCTGAATATGTTAGATATTACGTCACTGCACATCCTCTCATGTGTATTTTATATATATAAAATGCTGAACTGTAATGTCAATCCTGACCTTAAAAGCTTCCTAAAAGGTTGTGACAGATCCCATGAGCACCACACCAGAAACAAATACTTATTTAATATTCCAAGAGTACGACTTAATCAAACTAGAAATGCTTTACAAATGAAGGGACCCAGAATGTGGAATGACCTTCCCAATTATGTTAAAGACTGTACCTCTCCCAACCAGTTTAAGATAAAAACTAAGTACTACCTAATTAACTCCATGTAACCTACCTCACCCCCAAAATGTCAACCCATGTCTATTTTAAACAATGCTGTTTGTTGATCAAATTGTATTTTTTCTGCCATGTTCCTCCCTTTTTTTTCATTTTTTTTTTTTATTTTATTTTCTCAACACAATTTATACTTTAATCTCAATTAGTATTAAGTTTTAGTCTTAGTGTTTTTCCTGCTCGAAATGCTTTGCGTAATAGTGGCTTTAGACATTGTATGTACTAGCTCCATCTATAAATCCATCAACTTTTTGTATCTCACCTTATATGTATGTACTTTACCTGAATAAATATTTGTATTTGCATTTGTATTTGTATTACAATGGCAAAGTATTACTACAAAGTAGTAAGTATTACAAAGTATGTAATCTCAATAACAGGGTCTCGGAGAATACTGGGGTGAGGGGTGGGGGGTGAAGGGAAGGAGGGACAGGGAGGATATGGGGTAAGGGGGGAGGGGGGACATGGAGTATTACCTAAGTATTACAATGGCTTAGGTACAAATATTGGAGGATTGGGTAGCACTAGGTACAGTGCGAGATAAAGCATTAGGTAGAAAACTATGAAGATGAAATTAGGTACTTTTTGGTTTTAATTTTTGAATAAGGCAAAAGTTGGACAGCTTTTCAATTCATTAGGGAGTGAGTTCCATAGACTAGGTCTCTTTATTTGAATAGAGTGTTTACACAGATTTTGTTTGACTCTGGGGATAATAAAGAGATATTTATGTCTGGTGTCGTGGGCATGTGTTCTATTACATCTGTCCAGGAAGAGTTTCAGAACAGGGTTTGCACTTAAGAAAAGGGTTTTATAAATGTAATTGACACAAGAGAATGTATGGAGTGAATTTATGTTTAGCATGTTTAGGGATTTAAACAGGGAAGCTGTGTGTTGTCTGAAAGCAGAGTTTGTCATTGTCCTGATAGCAGATTTTTGCTGGGTGATGATGGGCTGGAGGTAGTTTGCAGAGGTTGAGCCCCAAGCACAGATACCATAAGTAGGATAGGGATAGATAAGTGCATAATAGAGTGAGAGGAGAGCAGGGTAGGATACATAATATCTGATCTTAGAGAATATACCAACTGTTTTAGAAACCTTTTTAGTTATGTGTTGTATGTGGGTGAAGTTGAGTCTCTTGTCTAAGTATAGGCTATGGAATTTTCCATCATTTTTATTGCTAATGTTTACAATGTCTATCTGAAGCTAAATTGCATTTATTGATTTGCTTCCAAATAAGATATAGTAGGTATTTTCTATGTTTAGTGTGAGTTTGTTGGTTGACATCCACAAGTGGACTTTTTTTAATTCATTGTTTACAACATTATTTAATACCAGAGTGTTGGGGTCAGAGTAGTTGAGAATAGTATCATCCGCAAACAATATAAGTTTAAGCATGTTAGAGACATTAGGCAGATCATTGCTGTATATAAGAAACAGGAGGGGTCCTAGGATGCTGCCCTGTGGCACCCCTACAGTTAGTGGTAGAGTTGGAGAGTTTACACCATTGATGGTTACATATTGGTGTCTGTCACTAAGATAGGATCGGATATAGTTCAGGGCAAGGCCACAGATTCCATAATGGACTCCATAATGCCACAGATTCCATAATGGATTCCATAATGTTTAAGTAAGAGGTAATTATGGTTAACAGCATTGAAAGCCTTTCTCAGGTCAATGAAGAGTCCAATCGGAAACTCACTTTTGTGAAGGGCTGAGTAGATTAAGTCATGCAGACTAACAATTTTTTTTTAATTAAATTAATTTTTTTTTTCAGGAAAAGTACATACATAGTTGGTTTCCAAACATAATGTTGGATTTATAGATAGAGCTAGTACATACAGTACTTAAAGCCACTAATACACATAGCGTTGCCCGAATGATGCACAATTGCGTCATTGGTACTCTTTTTGGGAGCAGAAGCCAAACTGACAGGGACGGCTGTTTGTACTTCTTGAAAAGCTTGTACCATTTGAAAAGCTCGGCTATTTGTACTTCCCCAAGGCTTCCATTACCATTGGAATCTGTGAGAGGATGGAAGGCTAGGAGTACCTCCCTGTTGTTTTGTGAACAAAGGCCCAGGCTCCAGCAGAGGAGGAATCAATAATTGGAGAGAGGCACAATAATCAGTCCAGGCCTTGCGTTTGGCAAGGAGGACTGCCCGCCTACACTTGGCGTCCGCCCTGTGGAAGGTCTGCCGCTGCAGTGAGGTAGGGCGGTCTGTCTAATTACCGCAAGCTACCACAAGCTACACAAGCTTCACAAAGCTTCCTGGCAATACGTTAGTAATGAATAAATATGATATATTTACTCATTATAATGTTGGTGCTGAATGTACAACACAAAAAAACATAATTTTAATCTGAAAAAGTATCTTTTTATGAAGAAATTAGACAAAAATAAAGAGCTGGTGATGCCAAATCAAGTCGACGATCCAAACGTCGGTTAGGTTAGGTTAGGTTAGGTTAGGTTAGGTTAGGTTAGGTCAGGTCAGGTTAGGTCAGGTTAGGTCAGCCTAACCTAACATATCATATTTATTCATTACTAACGTATTACCAAGAAGCTTTGTGAAGGTTGTATAGCTTGTGGTAGCTTGCGGTAATTAGACGGACCTGGCGTTACCATCATTCAATGCCTTCTCAGTGAGGCATTCATTAGGGAGGCTCCAGCCTCCTCCAGTGCTGGGATCCCCATGGGTAACTGCAGTGAGCACACAGTGGTCCAAAGAAGCAAACCGAATCCAAAGATGAGCTCCCGATAAGGTGAGGAAAGAAAGCCCAGCCAGGAGTGCTCAATCTGTGCGCCACGATGGCCGACCTTCCCACCAAACACAGAGTAAGCCCACAAAGCTGATTTTCTTAGTTTATGGATTTCATAGAACTTGTTGATAATGTATGTACAATACCTGTTTGAGAGCTAAAAATAATGGCATCTTTGATTTTACTTTGTTTATGAAAGTGTTGCTGTCTTATTTTAGAATCTTCTCCAGAGAGTTTGAAAAAAAGTTAAAAGAAAAGAAAGGAAAGAGAAGGGAGGAGGGTGTGATGTTCTGTGTTGGTGTGGATGGCCTTGGTTGTAGGGTTGATATAAAGCCATTGCTTGGTTAATGATTTTAATACATATAATGATAATGATACATGACTAACAGTGTGCAAGCGCGGCGTCCATCCTGCATGTGCTCTGTTGTTTACATACTGCTAGCATATGAAACACAGCGCATACAAATGGATGGTGCCATTTGCTATGAATATGACAGAGGGCAGCTAACTTGTTTAACCTGTTTCATTATCATTATATATGGGTGAAGTGATTGTTGTCAGTGAGCAAAACTGAGACAGGAATGTTTGTGAGTGTGGTGGTGATTTTTGAGTCTAAGAGGTAGCAGGTAAAGAACAGGTGGGGGGGAGTTCACAATTTGGAGAATGCAAGCCACATAATGCAACTTTTTTAAGGCGCTTATAGAGTGTTACGGTAACTTGGGCAAAAGCCATACTTTGCAGTTAATATCATATCTACATAATATCATATAATCTTGTTTGTAAAGGTTGAATTAAATAATCAAATAAAAACCTTATTTATATTTTTGTCTCTTTTATTGTCATTTTATTGTCCACGGCTGACTAGTAAATACAGAACCGAAGTTAATCAGACATATTTGGAACACGGGAATAAAAAAAGACTGAAGCAGAGATAAAAACTGCTCTGCAATCATAAGCCAAGAGGACCAAATAAATAATAGCATGTGCAATAAATGTCTTTAATAGTACTGAAGTGACTGAAGCCTAATTATCATATTATATCATATACATGTACAGGATTCTGGAAATTAAATAATATGAAAACAAAACTTTGGGATTTTCATGCTTTGTGTTTCTCTAACTTGCATAATTGTTAACATACTTGAAGATTTAGTAAAGAAATATTAGAAAAACTACTGAGAACTTTCATCCAAATAAACTAAGTATGGTTAGCATTATGGTTAATGGAAATTAGCCTAATTATGCACCATTTACTGTGGCAGTCCATTTTGTGTTATCGTTATGAAGCCAACTAAGCATCAAGCATCTTCCAGTCACGCCCACGCAAGTTGTATTCGTGCCAAAAATGGGGAAAATATTTAAGGCATACAAATTAAAACTCATCACTTTTACAAATTTAACAAGAACCAGACTTTTGTATGCAGCATTAAAGTTTTTGAAAGTTTTCAACAATAAAATCAAATTTAATGTTCTCAATAACACTAAACTTTAAATAAGAAGACAATAGATGACTGAGAGAGACACATTCAAGATGACCCGTTGTTGATGAATGACAAGTGATAATCATCTAGTACCACTGAACTAAACTATTCTGCTGTTTAGTCTGTCAAAGTCAGTACATGTTAACTATAAAAAGCATCACAATGTACAAAGAAATAATTGACTAGAGCAATGAGACATGGATGCATCAGTGACTGTCCATAGAGTCCTTCAGACAACTTGACTACAACAATATCTATAATATAGACCTCTATAGCAAATTTAAGCTATTAAACATTATACACCAATACTCTCTCTGACATGGGTGGTACTCAATGCTAATGAAGCATGTAATACAAAATATAATAACAGGGCTTCTTGACCAACCAGAATGTATTCTATGTCACCGCAGCCAAACTTTACCTTAACGCCTCAATCTATGTCATGTTACACCAGAATCCCCTGCACAGAAGATTCCTGTGAATTATATCCCATTATGTACAACTTCAACACAATCACACTTTTCCTCCTTAAAGTTAATATAGAACTTATTTACATGGCCATGTGTTCCCCATTTGAACATCACATGCACGACATACACATACTTATACATACAGTGAATCATACAATATACTTATCAATACATGCTCGCACTAGTCTGGCTTGTGTAGTGATCAAAATACAGTATATAGTCCTCCTTTGAATGATCGAGGCACTTTAGGGGGGACTTGAGCGAAAACGAGACCACAAATCAGGCATTGAAAATGGACTGCGGCTCGTACAAAGAATCATTCTCTTAAGAAGAGGCTTTCGGTATCTATACAAGGATGAGAATTTAAAACTTATAAAATACCACCTGTTGATGATGGCTTAGAAATGATGAAGGAAGTTGCAGCCAATCCTCTCCTAACTCCACTACCAAAATATACCTTATGAAGTTCATCTATAACACATAATCACTATATCAGTATAATAGTAAAAATAAGTTAAAAGCCATGGATGCCATTTCACATAACTGCTTTAAATATAACTAATTTCATTGACTACATATCCCAGTTACTGTAAAAAATACAGTACTGTATTTGCAATACCAAATGCAAAAATGAAAATGAATGCAGTTTTGAATGCATTCATTAATGCTGAAAATGAATGCAGAATGAAGTTTTTCAAATCATTACTTATGATGACTTATACAACAACAAATTAAAATTATCAATGATAAGAGAATGTTAACACCTATATATTTTCTCCACGTGTATAGCACTAAATTTTTGTATGACTTAAGTGCTTTACCTCTCACATACTGGCTCCTACTTCGTCACTAGTACTGAACAGAAACTGCGTGTTAATAAACTTGCTCTAATTTTCTGTTCACTGACCTGTGTTATGACATCCACTTCAAATCATTATAAAATAAGGAAATTAATTCTATTCAATTACTGTTCATGCATACCTTTTAGGTACTTTGTGTCTATCTTATTTATTTATATATATATTTTTTAAACTTGACTAGCAACATTATAATTCACAAAAATTGCCTTTCAAACTAATTCCACACCACTTCTAACTCGAAAACTATCAAATATAGTTTATGAAATTTTCCATGTCACTGATAATACTTTAGTTAACAGAGAATTATCCCCATAGCTCATCTGTAAGATGATTTTGGATTATTTGTAACACAAATATTAGCAAACATTGCTTTTCAAACTTATTTCACATTAGTGGTAAGACTGCAATCAGCAAAACCTCCACTGAAGCTAATATCCCATCACTGGCAGCACTGAAGTTCGGTGGAAAAATCACCTAAATTGCTATCATTCACACATTCCCAAGTGGCTGTTGCTTTGAGGGGGGGGAGGGGGGAAGCCGATTCCCTTCTTGGAAGGAGTGACTACAGCTCCTTGGATGACTAGACACCTATGGAGCTTCAACTGGGAGCTTGAAGTGATGAAAATATTAGCAAAAGGAAGGCAAGAACACAGGTATAAAGGTGAGAGCCATGCTGGTAGGAGTGACTGCTGTAATAGGAGAGAATGGGGCAGTTGGGACACTGGTACGACCCACACACTTGACAGATGTCAAGTGTTACCGATGACATGTCCAGGAGTTCCACCTCATAAAGCTCTGTTGGAAGAACAAAATATCATTGTAGTCAGAAGGGATACCTAGAATTCAGCTGAATTTTTAGTAATGAAGGTGCAAAGATATATGATGATGCAATTACAGCATTTCTAATTTAACAAAAGAATGAATATCACAGCAAAATTCCCAAAATTACTTATTCTTAGTTTCTGATCAAATAAAATAAGTTAAACTTTATACATCATTACAAACTTATTTTAGAAAGTTTCTGATATAATGAGAAAAGTTTTATTTATCCAAGAAAAGAAAATCAGTTATTACTACAGAAAGTGATTGCTTGCTGATGGCGCTTCCTCACTCTTCTTTTGTACACAGCTTATCAAGAATATGTCATAATATAAAACACACCAAAACAAAAATGTACAAGGACATCTCAGTGGTAACAAGAAAAAAAAAAATGCTTATCAAGCATGAATATTTTTATTACTGTAATCATAAATTCAAATAACAATAATAATAATAATTATAATAATAATAATTATGGTGAGCTCAGCCTAAAATTAAGTTCAGAGCTCAGAAAGAACTCAGCAAGCTCTCCAGAACAGCTCAGTAGAAAATTACCGTCCAATCAGCTTGACATCACACATCTGCAAGCTCATGGAGAAAATCCTAAGGGAGGAAATCATTCACCATCTTTTAGTGAACAATCTTGTAAAATCGACACATCATGAGTTTGCTAAAAATAGGTCCTGCATTACAAACCTGCTTACATTTTTGGAAATGGTAACCAGCTACTCATACAAAGGACTTCCGGTAGATGTAGTATACAGAGGAACCTCAGGTAATGAGCAGTCCCATCTACAAGCATTTCAGGTAGCGAGTGAGCCACTCGCAGAAAATTTGTCTTGACTGAGACGCTTCCGCTCGGTTAAAGAGAAAACCATGTGGTGCTTCCTAGCGTTCATGCTGGTTCTCGCAAATTCTCGGACACCTCCGACGACAGTGTTGTTGTTTTATTGCGCAGGATAAGCATCCCTCTGCATTTATTTGTGTTTTTTTGTGGTTTTTGTAACTACAATTTGTAACCCACAATGTTGCCAAAGAAGCTGTTTGCTAAAGATAGTTTTGTCAAGAGGAAGAAAGACACAATTACTGTAGATCTGAAGAAGAAAAACCGCCTGACTCAGAGGTGGATTCTCCTTCCTCACCGTAACCCCTCTCCTCTTCTCCACCTCACCACCGTCTCCCTCAAGCCAGCAACGACTCTTCATAAGGTAAAATACAATTGAAAACAGTAAACCAAAACATTTAAAATAATTATATGTACTGTATTATAATTACATTATAAAATTGCATATTGATGTTTTTTGGGTGTGGAACGGATTAATTGTATTTCCATTTTTTAACCCTTAAACTGCGCAACACCTCATATGATGTGGTGAGTAACTGCCACGGAATTGCGCACAACATCATATAATGTCTGGATGTACTGTGCAAGATTTAAAAAGTCCCGCAGCTACACGGGATTCACATCAGCTTCCTCAGCACTTTTGTTAACAGACACCACTTAAAAAAAAATCATGGGCAACATTCCTTGGTGTGACAGCCTCAATACAGACTGAGCAACCAAGGCTGGTGCATGCAGCATGAGCTAACAGCATTGCTGTTCAGCTTGTGACCACAGCATTGCCTACAAATATCCAAATATTTATGAAACTGGTATTATTTAGCGATGATAGTATTACAGACCCCTGACTGTGATAAAAATGACCAGGATATAGATAATAGCAGGATTGTTGTGATAAGTGGCACTGTGCTTGATGGTGGGAGGAGTAATGCTGAGGGAGGGAGATAGCATCGTCTGCTGACACTGTGTGGCCACCTGTTACTGTCTGTATTCACCATACCAGCTCAGTGATTCTCTATGGTGAACACAAATGTAGATACTTATTACACTAATACACACGTTATAAATAACAGCAAAAGGATTATGTTGGGTGCAGACATTTGGGTGACAGAGGTGGAGTAGTCTACATAATTTGTCTAGCTGTGTAGAGGGTGGTCACTACGGTCCGTCTAATTACCCAAAGCTACCCAGATTTACTCAAAGCTTCCTAGCATTATGTAAGTAATAAAGAAATATGATATACAGTAGTACCTCGGTTTAAGAGTTTAATCTGTTCCTATTTATTTATTTATTTATTTATGCATATACAAGAATGTACATAAGGAATGTGAGGATACAATTATGGTAATTACAGTCTTGTAAAGCCACTAGCATGCGCAGCGTTTCGGGCAGGTCCTTAATCTAAGAAAATTTTAAGGAGGTAAATACTTGCAAAATTTATAGACAAAAAAATGATAACAGATTACATGGAATGAAAAAAAAAAAAGATGAGAGAAAATTATAGGTACAGTATATTAAAGCACATAGGTAGCTATGATTGATTGCAATGACAGCTTAAAATGGTAGTTGACAACAAATTGGTAGGCACAATACAGCAGAAACAATATAAGATTGATTGCAATGACAGCTTGAATGGTAGTTGACAAAAATTGGTAGTCACAATACAGCATATGGCTAGCACATAAAAGAAGACAGCAATGAACACAATGATAAGGTTGTTTGATATTACATAAAAATTAGGAGATTGGGTACCACTAGGTACAGAGCAAATTTAAAGCTCAGTGTAGGAAACTAAATAGATGAAGTAAGGTACTTTTTGGTTTTGCTTTTAAATAAGGCAAAAGTTTTACAGTTTTTCAATTCACTAGGGAGTGAGTTCCATAGACTAGGTCCCTTAATTTGCATAGAGTGTTTACACAGATTAAGTTTGACCCTGGGGATATCAAAGAGATATTTATTTCTGGTGTGGTGATAATGGGTCCTATTACATCTGTCCAGGGAGAGTTTCAGAGCATGGTTTGCATTTAAGAACAGGGTTTTGTAAATGTAGTTGACACAAGAGAATGTGTGGAGGGAGTTAATATTTAGCAAGTTTAGAGATTTAAACAAGGGAGCTGAGTGTTGTCTGAAAGCAGAGTTAGTTATTATTCTGATAGCAGATTTTTGCTGTGTGATGATGGGCTTAAGGTGGTTTGCAGTGGTAGACCCCCATGCACAGATACCATAATTAAGATAGGGGTAGATTAGTGCATAATATAGTGAGAGGAGAGCAGAGTTAGGAACATAATATCTGATTTTGGAGAGTATACCAACTGTCTTAGAGACTTTCTTAGTTATGTGTTGAATGTGGGTGCTGAAGTTGAGTCTCTTGTCTAGGAATAGGCCAAGAAACTTGCCATCATTTTTATTACTGATGTTAATGTTGTCTATCTGTAGCTGAATTGCATTTGATAATTTGCTTCCAAATAAGATGTAGTAAGTCTTTTCGATGTTTAATGTTAGTTTGTTCGTTGACATCCATAAGTGGACTTTTTTTAATTCATTATTCACAACATTATTTAGTGTATGTGGGTTGAGGTTTGAGTAGATAAGGGTAGTATCGTCAGCAAACAATATAGGTTTGAGAATATTAGAGACATTAGGCAGATCGTTTATATATATAAGAAATAGAAGAGGTCCTAAGATGCTGCCCTGTGGCACTCCAACGGTAATTGGTAGAGTGGAAGAAGTTGTATCATTGATGGTTACATATTGGTGTCTGTCACTAAGATAGGATCGGATGTAGTCAAGGGCAAGGCCTCGGATTCCATAATGCTGGAGTTTAAATAAGAGGTAGTTGTGATTAACAGTATCAAAGGCTTTTCTTAGGTCAATGAAGAGTCCAATCGGAAACTCATTTTTGTCAAGGGCTGAGTAGATAATGTCAAGGAGACTAATGATTGCATCATTGGTACTCTTTTGGGACCGGAAGCCAAACTGGCAGGGGCTGAGTATGTCGAATTTTACGAGGTAGGAATAGAGCTGTTTGTAAATAATTTTTTCAAATATTTTTGATAGAATGGGTAGATTTGATATTGGTCTATAATTGTTTATGTCCGCCGGATTGCCTCCTTTATGGACTGGCGTTACTCTTGCTTTTTTGAGGATATCAGGGAAGGTGTGACACTCTATAGATTTGTTGAACAGTAGTGCTATGGGTGGGGCAAGGGCATGGGAGGCTCTCTTCTGTCAGCCAGAGGCTCTCTTCAGGCCAGCTGTCTCCTGGAGACAGCTCGTATTCCGGAGCTAATTTCCCCATAAGAAATAATGGGAAATGAATTAATCCATTCCTGACTACCCCAAAAACCCGACTTCAAACTAAATTTTATACCTAATTCATCTAAATAAACCTACAAAACTATGTTCAAGTTATTACTTACCCTTGTTGTTGAATGCTGTAGGCATATGGAAGATGGTGAGGAGGAGGGAAGAGGAGAGGAAGAGGAGGGAAGAGGAGAGAGAGGATTCCTGCTCTGAAACTCTTCCTGGACAGATGTAATAGGACCCATTATCACCACACCAGAAATAAATATCTCTTTGATATCCCCAGAGTCAAACTTAATCTGTGTAAACACTCTATGCAAATAAAGGGACCCAGTCTATAGAACTCACTCCCTAATGAATTGAAAAGCTGTCCAACTTTTGCGTCATTCAAAAACAAAACTAAAAAGTACCTAATCTCATCTGCATAGTTTTTTACCGTGTTGCTTTAAAATTGCACTGTATCTATTGTTACCCAATCTCCCTATCTTTATGTACCCAATCCGAACATCTTTACCAATGTGATCATTACTGTCTTCTTATATGTGCTATCAATCTGCTGTACGATGTCTGTTATCTTGTTTAAATTACCAATCAAGTTGTCAGTGTAATCAACCAGAGCTGTAATATACCAATGTGCTTTAATATACTTACTATTCTCTCTCATCTCATTTTTTTTCTTGCAATGTATCTGTTATCATTTTATTAATTCTGCTAGAATTTACTTACTTAAAATTATCTGTTAGATTAAGGACCTGCCCGAAACGCTGCACGTACTAGTGGCTTTACAAGATTGTAAATACTGTGCTATGTATTCTCTCTAACCCAATGTACC